ATGGATTGTTTAAGTTTAGAGTTTGGAGTTAGAGATATTAATATTTGTTTACTTGTATTTGAATATTAGCCTAGGTTTGGTTTGGGAAGTCCGGGGGGTGGGGGGATGGGATATAACATTGTGTAATATCTGTGATGTATTTCTTTTTCTTTTATGATGAAAACAATAAAATTTTATATTGAAAAAAAAAAAAAAAAAAAAAAGAACGCATCATGCACTGCTTTTATAAAATCCTTTGGAACACCAGTCCATAAAGACTTGTATGTGTTGCCAGGCATGGGAGCTAGGAAGTTACAATCATTCGAAGCCAATACATTGTAGTCATTTGAATCGGGCCTCAGCTATCATTGTAGAATATACATATACATATAGTTCTTTTTGAAGAGTTTTTTGTTCTGAGTTTTTATATGGGGTTTAGCTGTCCAGAGTCACAATAGCAATGTAAACAATGATGTAAATCAGATTAATAAACTCAATTAGTAAAAATGAGTATCAGTTGTAATCAGCAAAAAAGAGCCAGCATTATATAGCTTTTATCATGTTGCATAGCACCACATTATTATTGGATTGATATTTTGTACAATTCAGGCAGTGTACATAATGCTCCCATCCAGTGGTGGGATTCAGCCAGTTCACACCAGTTTGGTAGAAACGCTAATTTTTTGCTGCCCAGGCCCAGAATGGACTTCTGGAAGCGGCATCCACACAGAGAACCAGTTGTTCATGTATTTGAATCCCACCACTGCTCCCACCTATTTCCCCCAATAACCCTGTTAGCTGAGTTGGGCTGAGAGAGAGCAATGGGTCCAAAATCACCCAGCTGGCTTTCATATCTCATAAAATACCTACCACTCTGCCATTACATATAAAGATGAAGGTCATGTCACGTATATTTTTTTAAATGTCTGTAAATTTCCTAAAAGCAAAAGCAATTTGTTGTCTCAGTGGCCAACTCTCTAATCAATTGAACAGGGATCGTTAGGCAAACCACGGCAGAATCTATAATTTCATGCTGAGATTTCCGACTACTTCAAAGGTAGAGTAAGGAATAATGATTATATATATAGTTGCTTAAATCTACATTCATTACTAAACTATCATGCTGCTGGAACGACGCACAGAATGGCTGTAACAAAATATTTCCAGATGTCAATAGATGTACAGGGATTATGATATTGTCTTCCCAAAACACGTCTCTCTTAAGATTTTTTTTTTCTTCATTCATCGTTTGGGGAAAATATCTTAACTCAAAACTTGGAAACTACTTCTGCGATATTCAGCTTCACAACAATAAACGAAATTATACGGGAGAAACAGCGACATGGGTCTAGTTTAACACGATAAACGCGTTAAACCAGACTGCATACGTGCACACTTCGTTTAGCAAACCTCCTTCCCCATAAACTTCAATATGAACAAGGGGCAAAGGTCGCAGAGCTCGTATCAAACCGTTCCACCGAGCGAACGAAACGACCAATCAGAGGCGCGAGACGTTAGCATAATAGGATACGCATGCGCACACACGCAAATTTTCCCCCGGATCCGGGAACTTTCCAGTCATAGGGGTTTTCGGCGCCGCTGCCGAAGGCGGAACGCAATGCTTGCTGCAAATGCTCAACGTCTAATGCACCATAGAGCTAGTTCATGCGATTCCTTGACTCTTTTTTTCGTTAACTAAGCGGGGATTAGAATTACCATAAGGATGAAATCAGTAGGGTTTTTTTCCTATTATTTGCAGAGGTCATTTAAAAAAAGCCTCAAGTGGGGCTATGAAACCGAGCAACCAATTCCCTGAGAGTATCAATTTCTGCCCTCTACAATCTCACGCGTGCGTCCTCGCAAATTGACATGCGCGTGTTGTATAAGTCGCAAAGCGCACAATTTGAACCGATTCTTGGGGGCTGGGTGTGTTTGTCTTCTGGCCTGTATTTGGCGGGAAGGGAAGGATTATACGGCCCGGTAAACTCCGGAGCCATTCCGGTAATGAGCCCACCGGCCACATGGCGCAGGAGCAGCACCCGCAGTCCGGAACCCCGTGGAAAGAAACGCGGCTGGCTTTGAGACGGTTGGCCGAGTGCCTGAAGTGCTCTCTTTGGTAACCGATTATACCTGAGAAAAAGGAGGGCGGAAGGAATGGAGAGGCTTTGTGGAAAGGATTTGGAAATGAAGTCTTATTAAATAAAACAAGATTGCTTGGTATATACAAACGGTTCAGTTGACGAGCTGTTTTTTCAGAAGTGTTTTACATTTGAATTTAATGAGTAAGCAGCGAGGCAGTGGTTTTCTTAACCGCAGTTTATGGAGAAAGTTGCTATGATTGGGTTACGCGCGTCATGCTAAGATAGGGCTAATAAGTCAGGACTGCAACTATCCAGACGATACAAGCAAAGAAATACAGGAAGCGTTTAATCTTTGCTGTTATCAGTGGTCCTGTGGATGTTTCCAGCCCATAACTGATCCTCCTAACTAACATGTGCCAACAGACCATATCGTTTAGTGCAGGGGTCTCCAACCTTGGCAACTTTAAGACTTGTGGACTTCAACTCCCATGGTTGCAGCCCCCGGTTTAGTGAGTTGTGTAAAACTTGTCAACAAGCTAGGGAAATTAATGATTTGAGATAGCATATGAATTGATCTACTCCAGCCTTTTCTGGCTCCATATAAAATGTTCAGCAAGTGGCATTTTTAACAAAACCAAGCAGGACAGGACAGGACGTGGCGTGATGTATTTTTTGCATTGCCGGAGCTGGGGTGGGCGCTGCCTCCATATAATGCAACAGGCGTACGGGCTGGCAGTTTGACACCCCTCATCTCTTCTTAAAAATCTCCAGTGATGGAGCGCCCACGATTTCTGGAGGCAAGCTGTTCCATTGGTTAATTGTCCTCACTGTCAGGAAGTTTCTGCTTAATTCCAGGCTGCTTCTCTTTGACCAGTTTCCAACAGTTGTTTCTCGTCCTGCCCTGCAGCCCCTCAAATACTGGATCTATTTCAGAATGTATCTGACTATTAGTGAGAGATATTTTTGTTTGCTTTTGTTTGTTTTTCAAGTCAGTGTTGACTCCTGGACAAGTCCTTGAAGTTTTCATGGCAAGGTTTTTTTGGAAGTGGTTTGCCCTTGTCTCCTCCCTAGAGCTCAAGCATAAAGTGAAGTAGAAGTCATAGTCTCCCTGTTTCTAGCCCAATGTCTCAACCACCACACCAGACTGGCTTTCAGCAAGGGATGGTACTGCAAGCAAAATTCTTTTCATTTTTCCTTTTAGATGTTCTGCTTGAAATGGGAGTTTGCAATTGTAGATGGGATTATTGTAATTGAGTGCTATTCCATAAGTTAGGGAATTCCTTAAATGTAGACATTTTCACTTATATTCAGGGGATGATTTTCTTTAGAAGAATGTTCACTAATGTGACTCCCTATCTTACAGATTTCCCTGATAACAATTACTTTGTTGGCACTGGTCATCCTTCCTCAATGTAGAGTCCATCAAATGAATTAGGAATTGCAGCTTCAACAACTAGACTGCCAGGTTATAAAGGCTGACCTGGGCAAGGAACACTACTCTAAAGTATATCTATGTCATTAGTGTTTGGGTTCTGATGTTTCAGTGGCAAAATCATAGCAATATTGCAGAATGAATAAACGGTTTCAACACTGGTTTGCACAGTTGAAGGTAGCATGCCATTAAAACCTTGTCATTGAAGTTGCTGTAAATATCCATGGATCTTGATATTTTGGTTGCTGCAATCCAGAAACAGATGTACAAAAATAGCCTGTAGCTTCTTATCAGCACATTTAAAGACAGCTTTGTTTCAGTTTTCCCTCATGTTATAAGACACTGGAATAAGTAGCAGCTAGGGAAGTAACCATCCTGTTAATGTCTGCCTCCCTCTGTGCAGAAGCCTCTTTGATATTTTTACAACACTGTTGAAATATATTAAAAAAATGTACCATGAGAAATAACTTGAACAATGCTGAAATTCAGGGCTTTTCAACCTTTTCACCGATTGTACCACTTTTAAGACATGACAATATTTGAGTACCACCAGTGCTTAGCAAGGTGTCCAAAAGGGGGGGGGGGCTGGGTTTTACTGATTAGATTCATTTTTTGTTATAGAAATGGCTAGTTTATAATATTATGGAAAAGTAAAAAGTTGAGGTTCAATGTTAATGCTTCCTTCTACTGCAACAGAGGAAATCTGTTCTTTTTCCCTTCTCCCCCTCATTTCCCCCCCTTTTCCTCCTCATTGTGTCCTACTATTTGCTTTTGTATTTTTGTATTTTATTCTATAATCTAATAAAATATTACAAACTATAGAAAAAAAGGAAAAAAGTACCAGTTTTAATTTCTTTGGTGGCTGTTCCTTTGCCTTGACACAACCAAACAAAGCTTTAATTATTGTAAACCTACTTGCTTCTGCTTTAGAAGGAAGCTCAAACTGTCCTCCAAATTCTAAAAGCACACCCACGGACTTTGCAGCCCGTTCTTGACACTACATTACCAGCCATATTTTTCTGTATTGGAGGTAGAATCCTTCACATGTAAAGCTTGTCCCAAGAGGCAGCTGCCTAGAGTGATGTTATTTGAGTAGAAAAGATAAAACACATTTTTTTCTTAATAGACAATTTCTTTATGTTTATGAATAAAAAAATAGTGTTTAAATAGCTTGTTTATCTTGATATTATTTATCTTGGGGTGCATTGAAAATGTGTCTATTCTAATATTTAGGACAGAAATAACTCAATTCCATTTATTCTCTCCTTGACAGCACTAACATTCTGAAGAAACCTGTGAACCTAGGAAGTTGTGAACATGTCTTCTGTCTGTGAGTCATGCCATTACTCTGAGGGAGATGAGCAGTTCAAAAATGTGAAAAATAAATAATGAACTGTTATAAAGCTTTTCCCAAACTTGCCTATTTTGATAATGTTTTTAGTCTGAAGTAAATATCCTATGTTGTTGCTTTCTATTTGTGGCTGCTAGTATGATTATATCTTCTTATGTAATTATACCTGGCTTTCTCAGCAAAGCACTTATTTGCTGTAGTGCTTTTTTTCTTTATATCATTGTAGATGAAATAAAGATTAAATTATTTAAGCCTCTGTTAGGTTTGACATATTTATTATGCATTTAAATACCCTCCACTCTACATAGGCACATAAATCATCCTATCCGTATAATATTCTAGAACAGTGTTTCTCAACCTTGACAATTTTAAGGCAGCCAAGATCAACACATAGGAATTGGAAGCATTCACCAAACATCAACTCTGTGGACAGATAACATCAAATTAAAGTGGAAAGATGTTAAGGAAAATAGTCCAGCCTTCCTGGACCGTGCAATACACATTAAGGAAGACAGAAGCCTTAACATTGAAATTTACAGAAAACACACACACAGAGATCAATATTTACCTTTTCATTCTCACCACCCATTGGAGCACAAAGTGGGAAAGAAGGCTGAACGTCTGCATACCAGCAAAAACGGGAAAGAAAAACAACTAAACCACATAAAGGAAGCCCTCAGAAAGTGTGGCTATGCCAAGTGGGCCTTCAAATTCCAAATTCCCCAAAAGACCCAGCAAAAGAGAACAATAAACAAAGCAAAGTTGTCATTCCAGGAATATTTGAAAAGCTCAATAGGATCTTCAGCCAACACAATATACACGCACACTTTAAACCCAAGAATACACTAAGGCAGAAGCTTGTCCATCCTAAGGATAAAACAACCAGACAAACTAAGCAATGTGGTATCTGCAGTACAATGCAGTGTGCATGTACATGTGCAGATCTGTACATTGGGCAAACAACCACTTCAGAAACACATGACACAACACAGGAGAACAAACCCATCAGAACAAGATTCAGTAGTCCATCTGCATTTAAAAGACAGAGGCCATTCTTTTGAATACAGCAAAGTCCACGTTTTGGACAGAGAGGACCGCTGGTTTGAAAAAGGGGTCAAAGAAGCCATCTATGTCAAAATTGAACAGCCCTCTCTCAACAGAGGGGGAGGGATAGGACATCATCTATGTTCAGTCTACAACTCAGTCCTTTCAGCAGTTCCAAGAAGGCTCCACACCCATTTGCACCACTCAGGTGACCTTGAGGACACAGATAAATCTCCAGGTGGCCTCAGTGACTCTCTAAAAGAATGCAAATGATCAGCTGTCTGCAAGAAATATAAATCCTTCCATTCCTCACCATCCAGTCAGAACTGAAGATTGGATGAGAAGCAAAACGTCTTGAAAGAAAAACAAGAAAGTCTAGTTGCCTCTTGAAAAAGCACCTGGATGACTGATAATCTCCATAGACAGTTTTGAGATGATGTATAGTATAAGGTTGATACATTATAACCATTGTTAAATACTGAGTAATATGAAATGAACCCAGAGTTTCCATAATATATTACCTGTTAGCAGCTGAGTTGACATTGTTTATAATATGAAGTATCAGAAATAGAACTTCAGAGAACCTTGACTGATTTGTTTAGACTACAGTGAGTTTCCTATTTGATTCAGGGATTGTAATTATCATTAATTGATTCATATAAACATAAGCAAGTATGAAGCTAGATGTTTTGAAATTTTTGTTATGGATAGCCTTGGTTAATCCTGGTGACATCAGAAAAGTAAATCATATAATCCAGAAAGAGGGAGCATGCAAACGTTAATGCCACTGTCTTTCTCTCTGTAATTTCTTCTTACTTGTGCATTTTGTTGTAAATTACACATACAGGCTATGAGTGAAGACTTCAGCATTTTAAATGTATTGTAAACAATTGTCTTGTTCTTATGTATTTTAATTTTTAAGATAAAGACTTCTTTAACCATGTGTTAGAAATTGTAGTTTGTTATCCAGGTGTAATTTTTCCCATATGAAATCATGTTTATATTTTTCAGAAGTTGTGTAGGCAACTGTATTGGCACAGCTTGCCCAATATGTCAGGTGCCAACCATGAAACAGGATGTGAAAATAAACAGGAAACTAGACAACATCATCAAACTCTATAGCAAGCTGCAAACTCTGCAGGGCAAGGATTTCTCAGGTAAATGAAATAATACTTTTTGAAACCTGGAATTATGTAGCTTGAAAGAACAAAAACATCTTTCAAGACTCCTTTTTGCACTATATATTTAAAATGAATTCTAATTAACAATTGATGGTGAGGGTGGGGACAAGACCCAAGCGACAGTGGGGACTCAAAAGGGTGGGAAGCAGAACATGGGGTTTCTCGGGGTGGGGAAGGCATTGGGAGGCTAGGGACAGTGGGCTTCTTTCTGCATTAGGGTTTCCTCTACTCCTGAGGCACCCCATATTCCACTTAACATTCACTTAAGCACACACACCCTTCACATTCACCCACAATGGGGAGACTCCATTACAATTAGCTATTAATTACCCTTATCGTCCTGGACCTTGAACTTTGGTTTTAAGCATATATTCCAAAAAGGCTTAATCCAAAGATAACAAGAAATAAATATCCCATATTCTTGGCTGCCTCTGAACAGCTAACTCCAATAGATTCTCTTGAGACAGATCAAACCATATTTTCTGGATGTAGTACTTTATGAAGCTAAATGTGTATAATTAATAGATAGATAGAAAGTTTTTGACCTCAATCTTGAAAGGTTCTTTCCATTCCCATTGTGCAGCAGCTTAATAACTAAATATACTGTAATTTGTTACTTCAGGAAATAAATATGAATCCATTAGCACAAAGTTTGTCCTTCTAAAAAACAACAATCTTTTTTCCCCTTAACAAGGGGAAAAAATTGTGGCCTAGCTTCTTTAGTCAAAGGTGAATATGATACTTGAATAACATTGTGCAGAAGTTTTTTTTAATATACAGGTAACCCTTGAATTATCACTGCAATGGAGCCTAAAATTATGATCATAAGTCATACTGGTTGTTAAGAGGACCACTACATGATCATGCTCAACTTTTATACCTTTTTTGCAAGTGTTGTTAAGCAAACCCAATGCCAGTGGGCATTTTTTGCCAGAAACTGGAAGTAAATGCTAGTTTCCAGCAAAAAAAAGAGGTACCATGGGATGGTATAAGTGGCAGTAAATGTGGGCTGGTTGCCAAGCTCCCAAATTGCAGGGGTTGGCCATCAGGATTTCAAAAATGGGTTATAAGTAGCTTGGAAAGGTCGTTTGTAACTTTGTATGATGTAGTCGTAAATTGAGGACTACAGTATCTGTAAACATAATTGACTAATGGCTAAAATATTAATGTACAAGCTCTCTGTGTGTGTTTCATTTTGATGAAGAATTAAAATATTTGCTTACAAATGCAGGCAGTTAAAAATAAAGTTGACAGCTACCCCCTGCCTATATTCTGGATATGAATATTTATATCCAGGTAAATATTTTGCAATTACAGAAATTTTGATGAGGGTAAATAAATAATATGAACAGTCAATGTTACCTGTAGAGTGTTTGTTTCTAAGCTTGTTGGCAATCCAGCTTCAAGATTCTGTTGCTACAATGGAAGATTACTTATATTTTTCTACTGATGGAACAACCTTGTGGGTTTTTTCCCCCGGATTTGTTCTACCCATAGCTTCCAGTCAGTTCTTTAGTAGGCCTAACTAAATATACCAATGAAATATTTCAGCATAAATTGGTCATCATTGCCTTAGGTTTTATTAATAACTTATCTTTGCAACTTGCTTTATCAACAGACATGACATTCGCATTCAGTCTAATATATTAAATTTTATGTAGGATGTTATGAAAGTTATAACTTGATGCCCTGTATTCTATTAATTTATTCTGCAAATTTAGAATGCACATGCTGCCCTTGAGACACAAATCAGAGATTTTCACCCATTAAAATAAAATACCTACAATAAAAAATAAGAAAATAAGATTTTAATAAGAGCTGTTGAGTACAAATTCATTAAGAGAAGCCAAGGGCCATTGTAGTTTGATTATAATGATTCTGATCTTTCTTTTAAATGGAATGTTTATACATTTATTCCTCTGATTACATTAACTTGTTAATAAAATATCCTAAAAATATATAACTGGGATTTAATGTAGTGTGGTATAAGTGATGTTAAATTTAATTCTTAATGGATTCCAATTTTTAAAATATTTCATATTTCAATTTGCATGCCATGTCCCAGTATGCTAAGTAACTAAAACTTTCCATAATATAATGTCCTTGCCTTTCACTTTTTAAAAAAAAATGCATTAGGAAAGATACTTTATATAGTGTTTGAACTTCTATAGTTGTTTATAGCAATGGATGCACAGTAATGCTTAAAGATTTATGAATCCATTTGACTTTTCAGTATTTCTATACAAAGTAGACCTAAGACATGATCTGTTCTCCCCAAAGTCCTAAAACTAGATAGAGAGAACATGTATCATGAATGTTCAAAGGTGACATTGAAACAGATGTGCATGGTATTGTAGATATCATGGGGGCTATTGCATTTATGGAAAAGTTTATAATGCTGGGGAAATTGAGTGAAAGAAGAGTCTAACAGCATATAAAATACATAGAATACCAGAGGCTACAGAATATCCCTGGAAGAATTGCATAATGTGGTGAGTTACAACTGAATGTAGCATAACACATTCTAAATATGAGTCCTCTGCTGAAATGCTTAATAGATGCATTTACAGTTAGAGCAGTGGTCTTTACAGATCACTAAATGGCTATGGCTGTACAGGTGTATCGAGATATTTTCCTTAGACCTGCTTGGATAGACTTTGACTGAACACATTTTCTGTAGGTAAAGAATGTTTCTACCACTGAACAACAACTCTACCCTCCTTTGATCTTTGTTTTGAGGCAAATCTTAGTTTAACATAATGACAACATGTTATCTGCAAATCTGAAAGTAGTTATCTCAATAAGAGGAGGAAGAACAGGATGTACTATACCAGGGGTAGGCAACCCAAAACACTCAAAGAGCCACTTGGACCCGTTTCCCACCGAAAACAAAACACTGGGAGCCACAAAACCCTTTTGATATCTAAAATGAAGATAACACTGCATATATCCTTTTTTACCTTTATTATAGATGTGTGTGTGTGTGTGTGTGTGTCATAAAGGTAAAAAAGGATATATGCAGTGTTATCTTCATTTTAGATGTCAAAAGAGTCTCTCTGTCTTTCTCTTTCCTCTCTTTCTCTCTCCCTTTCTCTTTCTCTCTCTTTCTCTCTTTCCTCTCCCTCTCTCTTTCCTCTCCCTCTCTCTCTCTCTTTCCCCCTCTCTCTCTTTCCTCTCTCTCTCTCTTTTCTCTCTCTCTCTTTCCTCTCTCTCTCTTTCTCTTTCTCTTTTTCTCTTTCCTCTCTGTTTCTTTCTTTCCTCTCCCCCCCTCTCCCTCTTTCCTTCCCCCCTCTCTTTTTCCCTCTCTCCTCTCCCTCCCTCTCTCTCTCTCTTTCTCTTCCTCTCTCTCTCTTTCTCTTTCTCCTCCCCTCTCTCTTCCTGTCTCCGATCTTCTGCTCACCTGGCAAACTGGCTTCAAGCTGTTCTCCAACAAGCTGACACACATTCTTATTGGGCTAGCTCAGGGTAGGCAACCTCGGCTCTTTTATGACTCATGGACTTCAACTCCCAGAATTCCTGAGTCAGCATAGCTGGGCTAGCTAGCTCTCTCCTGCCCTTCCTGCTTCCTGCAGAAACGCAGCAAAGGGAGGAGCCCTGTCCAATAAGCTTGTCAGCTTGTCGGAACAGGGTGAGGCTACTCTCTTTTTCACACACACACACACACACACACACACACACACAAGCTCTGTCTCTGTCTCTCTCTGAAAATGGCAGAGGAGGCTGGGAGCCACAGGGGAAGGCTCAAAGAGCCACATGAGGCTCCGGAACCGCAGGTTGCCGACTTGTGTACTATACTATGAGTAACCATAATACTCATCTTTATAGTATTGAATTATGATATAATTTTGCATGGAAACTAGCTCTCTATCTATGTGGAACTATGTGGATTCTTTGCAGAATTTTTGGTCAGATATTATACCTAAACTGTCAGCTCTACAAATGACCATGGCTGCAGCCATTTTCCTTCTCATTCTAGGTTGCCACATAGAATGGAAGGAGGGGGGCTGCCCAGGTGCTTCGTTAATCAAAATAATCTTTTGTCCTGTGGGAACCAAGGTCATCGGTTGCTCCCGAGACTAGGGACTGGGTGTTGCATAAAAAGCCTGCCAAATATTGTTCCAATACTGAGTTTGTTCATTCTGTCCTGCCATTTGTCTGCGGATGATGACTAGAACTGAGTCCTTGGTCGATTCCTAGGAGGTCCAGAAAAGCTTTCCAGAACTTTGATGTGAACTGGACCCCTCTAACCGAGATAATGTGTTGTGGTGCTCCATGTAAGCAATAAACGCAGTGCAAGAACATTCTTTGCCAGTGCTTTAGCCGTTGGAATTTTTTGGCAAGGGATGAAATGGATCTGCTTGGAAAATAAGTCAGTCACGACCCAAATCATAGTGTTTCCTAAACTTTCGGAGAGTTTCACAATAAAATCTCTCCAGGGTGGTGATGGCTCAGCTACTGTTTGGAGTAAACCTGATGTTTTTGCCTGCCTCCGCTTTGCGGTCGCACATATAGGGCAACTGGAAACATAACTTTCAATGTCCTTTTTAGGTGAGGGCCACCAGAACTGTCTTTTGAGAAGGTGTAGAGTTTTCATGAACCTAAAATGTCGTGCTAGCTTTGAATCATGGCATGTTTGCATGGTTTTTAGTCTCTGGCTGGCAGGCACGTGCAATTTCTCACCTGCCCATACTAGTCCATCTTGCATGGAGCAGAGATTTCTGTGACTGCAAAACCACTTGTCCACTTCCAGGGCCTTTTAAAAATCTGCTTCAATAACATTGTTTATAGATGGTTTCCCCTTCTGTTGTGCTCTGGTGGTTATTTGAGTCACCAGCTGATGCGAGAGGAGAAGGGGCTTTACTACCTCCACCTTGGAGCTGTTGTATTGCAGCATTCTCAACAAGCATCAGCCAGGAAGTTTCTGTCCCCCCCCCCCGGTATGTAGCGCATGTACTTCCAGCGGTATGAAGTTGAAC